GGTTTTCCTGTATACCTGGCCCACTAGCTGTCTGTGGTAGCTTTCATACTGCTGTGATATTAAAAGTTATGCCACTGATGAAGCCCTGGGGGCAGAGTGCATAACATTTTGGGCATCCAACCACAACAGTTCAAATCCACCAGCCGTGTTCCTTGGGAGAAAGAAGTGGGTTTCTACTCCATAAAAGGTTACAGTCTGAGAAATCCACAGGAGCAGTTCTACCCTATCGTACAGCATCCACTAGTCAGTATCAACTCAGGGACAGAAGATTTCACTCATGAACAAGCAGCAGGGTTACTGCTGTTGGATGGATTTTAGTGGAGTTTACAAACTAGGGAGAAAGGCCTGGCAATCTACCTCCAAAAAAACTGAGCCAACAAAAACTTTATGGATCACAACAGAGCACTGTCTGACTTGCTTGCTTTGGTCATACTCGGGGAGATCAGACAGGGAAAAGGAGACCCTTAGGGAGATGAACTGACCCCAAGGAGAGCAGCAATTGACGTGAATATACAAACAATTGTGAGGACAAAACGAGACAAGACGACACTTCGTTCTGGTGTACAGAGGTCACCATAGGTTGGATCAACGCAATTGCAGTTATCTACCTGTGCTCCAGCACTATCCTCAGTTTAACTAATTTCATTTCCAACAACTGTTTCCAATAGATGTTTTAGCTTATCCATTTTACAGATGAAGAAATAGACTCTGAGGTTAAGGAATACGCCAAAGGTCACCAGATTATTAGTAAACAGAAGAGTTGAGACTTGACCCAAGGAGTTGGTTCCAAAGCCAAGATTCACAGTCACTTTGTCATAGCTGCCTCTCAGAAATGCACTACACAGGCGGTGAAATGCTGAGAAAATGTTCTGCCACTATTTTAACTTGTTCCTATGGCTTAAGTTTAAATTTGGGGTATGCAAACAAGAATTGGCCAAAACCAAAATGAAACAATCAAAAAGCCCAAACCTAACTAAATCCCAACAACCACAATCACTCTGCTGCAGGCTCAACCTAAACAGACTGTCAGAGCTTGGAGTGGCTGTTTCCAAAATGTAGTCCCATGCCTCCTTCCCCAAGGCAGAACAAGGGAAAGCCACCAAACATACACTTGAGAGAGGCTCTCTGGTAGTAGTTATGCACTGGGCTGCTAACTGCAAGGTCAGGAGTTTGAAACCAGCAGCCGTTCCTTAGGAGAAAACGAGCTGATACCAAAGGCTCAAGTAGAAAGCAAATGTTTTCAGAATGATAATGGCAACAAATGTACAAATGTGCTTGACACAATGGATGTATGAATGGATTGTGGTAAGAGTTGTACGAACC